GTTTCCCTTGTAATTGTAACTAATGGCTCTCATTTAGTTTGGTTTCTCTTTGCACTATTCCTAAGTGCACTGTGATGAAGTTTCTTGCAGTCTTTTCTTTATGCATTTTACTGCTCTTAGGCCAGTTTTAGGCCACAGTCTTTTTCTATAGGGATCAAGTAAATAGCTTTCCTATTTTAAAAAGGCAGTTCAAAAATCAGTGTAGGAAAAAAGACAACAGAGACATTTGTGGTCTCAGAGCCTAAAGTATTTGCTACCTGGATTGTACAGAAAACACCTGCCAATCTCTTTATTACGAATTCCCAGAAATGCAATTTTTGAGTCAAAAGGAATTTTGAGGCTTTTACTACATTCTTCCAAATTGTCTCCAGAAACATTGAACCAGTTTATGTTCTTCTCAGTACTGAGTTTGGTCATTTGTCATGCATATTGCCTTTAGGGTTGCTGGCCCAAATTGCCAACTGAATATTCTTATTCTCTTGTTCGTAATTTGATGGTACATTATCATTATGTTTTCACTGCCCCCCAAAACGTTTGCCCATTTACAGTTTTCACAACTTAGTTTACATTTCTCTATTAAGAAATAGGATATTTATATTTTATATGAACCCTATTAAATGAGGATGTTCTTTTAAATTTTGTATATTGCAATTTAGGGGGATAATTTTTTTTTGTTTGTTTCACCGTTGGCCCTTTTTTTAAAAAATTTTTATTAGTGAGATACCATGAGGTACAGTTGTAGACTTACAAATTTTTGTGCTTGGCTTTCAATTATACAATGATCAAATACCCATCCCTCTACCAGTGCCCATTTCTCACCACCATGGATCCCAGTATCCCTCCCACCCCCCATCCCCCCCATCCCACCCTGCCTCTGTGGCAGGGCATTCTTGGGGGATAATTTTTACTTGTCTTTTACTTAGCTTGATTATTTTCTTGTTTAGGGGCCACATCCAGTGATGCTCAGATGCTTCTCCAGGCACTACTCGAATCAGTCAGCCCCAGCAGTGCTGGGGACTATGAGGTCCAGGGAATAGGGCCTGGGGCTCCTGCATGCAGTCACCTCACTGGCCAAAATTTCATTTGTCTTTTAACTTTTCTCTATGGGCCTCTTTAATGAAAAGTTAAAAATGGTTCAATAATAGAAATTTTATAGGGAATTGCTTTTTTTCAAAGTTGCTTTGTGATTAAAAAGAAATAAGAAGCAGTTCACTTATATTTGCACCTTAAATCCTTTTAATTTTTAAAATTATTTTAATCCTACTAAAGTTCTGTATCTAAGAAAGTTTGAAGGCTTAAATGGGCATTATAATTTGAGCCTGATTTCTATTGCTATGTTCAAATTTGGCATCCATCCACTATATGTTTGAATAGTTTATTTAATCTAAGTCATAATTTTGTTCATTTTTTAAAAAACATTTTTAATTTAATCACCATGAGATACACAGTTTCATAGTGTTCCAATTCACCTGCTACTGTAAGGCTTTATATATATATATATATATACATATATATAAAGTATATCAATTTAACCATCTTTCAGCATACAGTTTTTGTCCAGAGTGATCACTTCCAACTATGATTGTCATAGCAGTCCCTTCTCTGTCCTAATTGCACTCCCGCAACCCCCGCCACCCCATCCCCACTTTGTGGCAAGCTTACTGCCAATTTTATTCTGTCTTAAATGGAGAGAAGACCAAAAAGTTAACACAAAAATGAACAGTCATAACAGATATAAAGCATAAATAACTACCAGTTATTATAGCACCACAAATATTCCAGACAAAAACAATAACACATACAACGTGCAACGGTATAAAACAAGTTTGTGCATCCAAGAAACTAGATGTAGCATGGAAAATATGAGGTGTCAAGTATGAGGGTCAAGTGTAGGAGAGGGGAGGAGAGGGGAGGGGAGCTTTGAATACCACATCTAAGAGTTTACTCTTAATACTATGTGAGTGAGGGAGCCAGTGAAGAGTTTTGAACAAGTGAAACTCCATGGAGATGTGAGGTCAAGAGCACCATCTCTAAAGCAGTAGAGTCTTGAAAGCAGTAATAACTGGATCTATCCTGCCCCACCCCCCTCCAAATTCCAGCTCTCTAGAGTCAAATTCCTTTACCTTCTAACTATGCTGGTATCTACTTCTTCTAACACTGAGTTTAAAAAGATAGGACAAAGGGCTGGAGTGCACATGTTATGCACATGTTACATGCTGGAGGCCCAGGTTCCATCCCCAGCACCACATGGTCCCTTGAGCACAGAAGAGCCTGGAGTAGATTCTGAGCATCACTGGTTGGGGTCCAAAGACAAACAACCCTCCTCCCTGCCAAAGTTGAAATGATTACTCCATTCTGTCATTATGGCTAAAACTAATTAAAAATAAAGGAAGATAGATCTAGAGGAATCCCAATTTGATGGATTCAAAAGATGGGTCTGAGTGAGAGAAAAAAAATCAATTGCACTTGTCAGTTAGTGAAAGCTGGCGTATGGATTAGGTGGGTGGGAAAGCTGTAATGGATTAGAGATTTCAAGAGCAGGCTGGGAAGGATAAGCAAGAAGTTTGTCAGAAGATATAAAGATCAAAGTCCAGTACTGCCCCCAGGCTCCTGTTTCTGCTTTCCAAACCTTGCTGCTCCAGGACCAAGTGTTGACTTGGTCAGGAGACTTCTGAAATGGTCTGGGAAGTGCAGATAAGAAAGCCCGCAGCTGGAACTTGAAAGATGCTTCCCTCCCTTGAGTGATGGGCTGCAATGCTGGAACCTAGATACCCCCCTCCCGAATCTTCCTGGATAAAGCACTGTCAGACTGCACTGCCTGTTCTGAACATCTGACTAGGCCTTGCAGAGGCATCATTTCCCAGAGATGTGTGAGGCACTGCTTTAGCACTGAGGCTCTTAGCTTTCCTTTCTTCCTTTTCCTTCTTTCTTCTTTCCTTCCTTCCTCTCTTTTTCCTTCCTTCCTTCCTTCCTTCTTTCTTTCTTTCTTTCTTTCTTTCTTTCTTTCTTTCTCTTTCCTTCTTCTATCTGCCTTTCTTTCTTTGTTGTTAGTTTGTTTGGGGTTTGGGGCTACACTCGGAGATACTTAGAGCTTACTACTGACTCAGTAATCAGGGACCAAGTGTCAGCCCTGGAATCAAAAGACTTTGGTGGACAGAAGGCCCACCATGCAAGGCGGACAGAAGGCCCACCATGCAAGGCAAGTGCTTTTCTTCCTGTATGCTTCCTCCTGCCCATTTTTCTTTCTCATTTGAATCATTTAGAGAGCATTTAAAATTTCTCATGTCATTCCAAAACTCATGATCCATAGTTGAAGCCCAGAGCATAGCTATGGTAGCAACATCAGAAGAATCTGTGAGGGACCCAACAGGCTTTGGTAATTTTATGTCAGTTCAGTGAATTCTGTCTTTAGTGAGCTTAGAGAACCCAAGTTTCTCTAAGAACCAATAGTCAGCTTCCACACTTCTATTCAAAACTTTATTTGCCTTTGCAAAATGCATCTATGGATGGAGAGATAGTGTCTTGCAGACAGCCCTACCAGATTCCTACCCCAGCACCCTAGACGGTTCCCTGAATAACCAAGTGTGATCCTGGAGCACAAAGCCAGGAGTAAGCCCCGAGCTCAGCTGAGTTGTTGCCAAAAACCACTCCCTGCCCCCTACAATGTCCACCTTACTCCCTGACATCACCCCATCAGATTCCACCCATTTTAAGAGGTCTGGAGAGAGGTGTTCCCTGCTCCTCATAAGCCTGTCAATGGGCCTGAGACCACAATCTCCTTAGACAAGGGCGCAGGACACACAAGAGAGGCATTTCACTGAGAACAAGGGAGGGGCCTATGACGCAGGCTGGAAGTCCATCTTCACAGTGGCTAAGACTGTCAGACTCATACCTCCACCCCACAGTAGGAAGACAAAGGTGGGATTTTTTGAGGGGGTGTGGAGCTCTCACGCAATGCTCAGAGGATCCAGGGTCACTCCAGGTTATGCTCAGCCTGGCTATGCAGGCCTGACCATTCAATGCCCAGGTAAGAACCTGGCAGTGCTCAGGAATAGAACCTGGGGCTTCATGCCTCGAGTTTTCTCCCCTATTGTAGGAAGATTGCTAAGCCCTTTCCCCCTACACACACACACACACACACACACACACACACACACACACTCACAAACACAGACACAACACACACAGACATACCGAAACACAGACACACATAGACTCACACACACAGACACAGATACATACAGACATAGACTCACACACACAGACACAGATACATACAGACAGACACACACACAGACACATAGACACACAAAGACACATCGACTCACACCCACTCACACAGACTCACACACAGACACACATACAGACTCATACACACACAGACTCACACAAACACAGACACTCAGACACACAGAGACACACACAGACTCATACACAGACTCACACAGACACAACACACACAGACACACACAAATAGACACACACAGACACACAGACACACACAGACACACAGAGACTCACACACAGACTCACATACAGACACATACAGACACACACAGACTCACACACAGACTCACACACAGACACACAAAGACTGTCACACACACAGACCCACACAGACACAGACACAGGCACAAAGACGCATAGACACAGACACATAGACACAGACTCACACACATACAGACACACACACACACACACACACACACACGAACAGGAATCTGCTGGGGGCACCCCCGAGTCCATTCCAGGCCGACACTCGCCCTGCATCGTCACGTTCCCCTTGTGACGTGGCGGGCTCCCGGCTCCGGGGGCGTGGGATGCCCGGGGCGTCACCGCGGTCGACACGCCGCAGCGCCGGGCCGGCGGGGAGCGAGGGGGCCCCGGGCGAGGTCGGGGACCCGCGGCCGTGCGAGGCGGCGCCGCCCACCCGCCCCGCCTGGGCCTCCCCGCCGTGACCTCCGCGCACTCCCCGCCCCGCGGCTCGGCTGTGCCCGCGAGCCGCCCGCGCCCGCCGCCCCCCGGGGCACCGCCCGCGCCCCTGCGCCCGCCGCGCGCCTCCCCCACCTCTTCCGTTCCTGTCGGGCGGGCTGCAGCCTCCCGCACGCGCCCCTGCCCGCCGCCTCGGACCCGCGTCCACCCCGCAGCCCCGCGCGCCGCTCCCGGGGCCAGGTGAGTGTGGATCCGGGGCGCGGGGCGCCGGGGTCCCTGTCCGGCCTGTGCTGACCTCTGTCTGCCGCGGCCACGCTGCCGACCCTGGCCCGGCCCGCCGGCCGGAGGGGCTCGCGGGCGAGAGCGGAAAGAAATCCAGAGGGAGGGAAGGAAAAGCGACGAGCAACTCGCTAGCAAAAGCGAAAAGGCAGGCGCCTTTCCAGGTGGCCGATCGATCGCTGAGGACAGTCGTGGGGAGCCCGGGTGGCCCGGCACCCACAGGTAGAGGGCGTAGCTGTCAAGCGCCCCTGGCTCGGGTTCTGGCGATGCTCCTACGCGTCCGGCGTGGTTGGATGCACACAGAATAAACAGGTCGCGTCTACATGTAAACTCCTGGTTTTGCATTCTTTGCCTCTTTGGAAAGGTGAGACGGGGCAGAGTGTGGCCGGAGAGGGCTGGAAATCGGTAACCTGGGTTTGCTGGAATCGTTGGAGGTCATCAGTGAGACTCTGGAAACAGAGGAGAGAAAGGAAGGACACGAAGGAAACATAGTGTCAGTTCTGGGGATTGCAGCTTGTAAAGCTAAATTTAAGGTGTTGCTCATCAGCACCCACTGTGTGAAGGGCTCTCGCTTCAATACGACACAGGGTTAAGACTACGGACGCTTTAAGAATAGTACGCTCTTTGAATGAAACAGCTTTTGAAGCTGATAGTCTAGTGGTGAAAATAGCCCATTGGACTATTTTTGGTTTGATGAAGTAGCTAAGTGATCTCATTTTTACCTTTTATGCATTTGTTTTTACTAGTGGGGGAGGTGGGCCACACCTAGCATTCAGCAGCGCTGGGGATTTGAGAATGGGCGGGTTGCCCCTTTTAATAGGGATTAAGGCAAGCCCCTTAACCCGTATTCCATCTCTCAAGCCCCTCATTTTTACCTTTGTGTGGGGTCCACCCAACTGCGCTCAGGCTACCCCTGGTAGGGCTTCAAGGTTCATATGCAGTGCCGGGATCAAACACTTGTCAGCTTGGCTCATCAGCTGCAGGCAAGGCTATCCTTCGATAAACTATCCACTTTACTATCTCTCCACCCAGCTCTCTCTCTCTCTCTCTCTCTCTCTCTCTCTCTCTCTCTCTCTTCTCCCATCCTCGTTTAAAATAAGGAATAGACAGGGAAATGAAGGTAATGAAAGAGTTCTTTTTCGAGACTTCACTTACATTCTAATTTAGAACCTACTGCATTTTTAAGCTTTTGTGGTTTTTTTTTTGATACTATTCTACAAGTTATTCTTGGTCATGAAGATGATTATGAAAGAGCATAAAGTTACACTCCTGCAAAGAATAAGCACTGCTTTTCAAACATTTGTAGTAAATTACCACTTGCTTGGAAATTGTAGCTTTGACTCATGCAACTTAATGTGAAATATCTCATTATAGATTTAAATTATAGGTATACTTGTGGTAATTCTAAAGGGAAAAAGTCCTATTTGACTTAAAATGCCTGTGAAGCAGAAGTTCTAAAGTTATTCAGTACATATGTATTTCCTCTTATTTTTTCCCCCTGATTTGTTTTTCTACCATGCCCAGGGATGCTGGGGGAATTCAACCCTTGGTTTCTGCTTGAAAAACATGAACCCCAGCCCTTTGAGACTTCTCCCTGATTTCGTTTTCTCTTATATTTCTGTCTCTGACAACCAGAAAATGCCTTATTCTATTTCATCTTGTAGATGGATTGCCTGAAAGATTTATTGCCTGTGTAGAGGGTGGGGACAAAATATGACTAAAGTTTTTTTTTTTTTTTAAAAAAAGATTTCCTGGTTGCAACTTGGGAATTTTTAGACTGTCTAAGCCGGAGGGGGGGGGGGGGCGGGGAGAAGGTTACTTAAACTAGACAAACATGCTAAAAGGGCAAATAAAATCAAACACAAAAGTCAAGTTTGAAAAACACAGGTGGGAAATAACTTGTTGGAATGAAGAGATGACATTACCTGTTAGCATTGATATAGAGAAAATGTTCCTAATGGAAGGCATGACTTTACTAATATAATGATGTTTTTCATTTAGGGAATCTGAAATGTTTATAATCTCTTGTCACTCTACTGGTGATTGAACGTTTTGCATGTTTCGTGCCTTTGAGGTGGTATGAAATGTTAATTTTAAGGTCTTTTATAAGAACGTTAGATTAATGGAATTTTAATTCAGATTACTGTGACTGGTAATCCACAGCAAAGTATTAGGTCTGAGAATTTCTCTTTTATATAACAGATCTGTTACCTCTTCTATGTTCCTGATTGGGGAAGACATGCAGGCAAATTTTAATAACAATGATTGCTTTGTAATTTTTGTTTTTATGGGGGGAGGACTGTTAGTTAGACTGTGCTAGAGGGCCCCAGGCCAGTCTTAGCAGTTCTCAGTCAGGAGACCAGTTGGTATACATGAGAGATGCAGTGCCATGGCGGCCCTGTGCTGCTGGGGTCTCTAGGCTGCACCTGGCAGGGCCCAGGGACCATGTAATGACAGATTTCAGTGAGATTAGCCACATGCACCTTAACCGCTATGCTATCTGTCTAGCCTTCTTGCTTTTATTTAAAATGATTAAACCATCTGCAGAAGAAGCACATCTTTACTTGGATATAAAACAGTTCCATTAATTTGAAAGCAAATCAACAAAATTGACTGTTAACCATCTATAAAAGAACTTGAGGGTCTAGAACAATAGTACAGTGGGTAGCGTGTTTGCCTGGCATGCGACTGACCGGAGATCCATCCCTGGCGTCTCTTATGGCCCCTTGAGCACCACCAGGAATAATTCCTGGGTGCAGAGCCAGTAGTAACCCCTGAGCATTGCCCAATGTGACCCCAGAAGTAAACAAAAAAACCAAAGCAGAACTAAAGGTGGAACTTGATAAGATGAATTACCACACTGAGTGTTATTTTCCTTTCCTTATCGTTCAATTTCTATACTTGTTTTCTCTCCCTCTCTTTTCTTTCTTTCTTCCTTTTCTCCTTATTTTTTCTTTCTCTTTTCTTTTTTTTCTTCTTTTCATTTTTTTGAAGGAGCATTGTTCGCTTGCTTATTTTTAACAGTTATTTAAAACCTAAATTACTTATCCATGTTTATGTTAATATAAATGAATTTAGTAACTAAAGCAATTTAAAAAATACTGCTTAAGGAAATGTTAACCGAGTTAAAGTAATACCATTATTTTCCATTATTAGTACTATTTAAAATAAAATATTATATTTCATGTATAATGTAGAAAACTCTAGGTAGTTCCTGGGAACTTGAAGAGCTACATACAATTCCTACTTCATCTGAAAATAATCTTAAAAACATATATTGAATTATTAACTTCATGAATAGCAAAGAATGAGGGAAATAAAATTAAGGAATCAAGTCAAGAAAAGAAATTAAAACCAGCTTTTGACATTTAGTTATGGTTGCAGGATCAGCAAAAATGCAAAATCATTTAGTATATTTATATATTGAGATGGCCTTAATATAGTCATGCACTGTTTAACAATAGTAATATGCTCCCAGAAATGTGCAGGTATGTTTGTCATGCATTGTGCAAATGTCATAGAGTGTCCTTATACAAACCAAGATAGTAGTGCTTCCTGTACCTGGTAATGTACAGGATCACCTTTATTCATGTGACTTGTCTTTAACCCAAAAAATCATTATGGCACAGAACTATACTTAAAACTGTCCAAATCACAGGAACTCTATTTTTTTGTCAGTTTGTTTGGGTTCCTTTGAAGGCAGTGCACATGCTAGTATTCTCTTGTGCTCTACTCAACATTTCTGAGCATCTGTTTAAAATATTTGCCTTGCTAAACTGGAAGTAGAATGATAACAGATATACTGCTAACACAGACTGCCAGAATGTTTAATAACACAATCTAGGACATCTGTTTTCTTACTATAATATTCAGGGATTAATTTTTAGATCATGTGATTTATTTATCACTGCAGAAAATAAGAAGTGACAATCTTCCTGGAAATTTTGTAAATAACTGGTTTTAATGGTGTTTCCAAATTGTAATCCTAAATTTGCATAAAATAATCACTTCCAGATTAATTTTGGTGAAAGAAATCCTTTAAAACATGTTTATCTCTAAAGGAATGAAAATCTATCAACTTATAGAGCTCCTACTGTTTGTCTTGAGGCAATGCAGAAAAAACAGGTACCTTACTCAAATGGAACTCAGTAGCCTATTGGAGAGAGAACCACAGTGTCCTTCAGGGTATTCATTGACTCCCACCCACACAAGAACTCTACTATATGTAAACATATATAAACTTCTGTTTATATATAACATATGAATATGTTCTAATCAGAACTATTGGCCAACTCTCAAAACCCAGTGTGATGTACAAAATGCAAAATCAACTTGAAGGCAGGTAGCTTAGTACCCAAACTTTTTTCCAACTGATTTTCATACCCTTAAGACAACCTTTTCATTTATCATTCAATAACGTTTATTATGCTCTCATTAGGTGGATGGTAAACACTGAAAGCATGAAAACTTTTAATTATTTTTATTTTTGCTCTACACATGACAGTGTTCAGGGCTTACTCTTGACTCTGGGTTCAGAGATCATTCTTGGCAGGGCTTGGGGGATCATAAAGTGCACCAAGGATTGGCCTTGCCCAAGTCAGCCTTTTCACTGTACTATTTCCCTGGTCACTAAACTGTGCACATTTTAAAAACCTATGATTTTTTCTTTAGTATTTAAGAATTTATAGTGAACATATTTTATTGTTGTTTTGGGGCCACACTGGCAGTGCTCAGGGTGTATTCCTGACTCTGTGCTCAGGGATTACTCCTGGTAGTTCCCGGGGACCCAAAGCAGTGCCAGGAATTGACCCAGTGTCAGTTGCTTGCCTTAACCCTTGTACTATCTCTCACACATATTTTAGTAAAATTTATATCAAAATTTTTCATGTGATAAAGAATACGTACCTGGTTGGTTAAGGGAAAAGTAGAAGCTTACAGCCTATGATCAAAATAAAGACTCT